CGTGAACAGACTGTATCTGTCAAGTGATAATTCAGTCAGGTTACAGCTATCTTTAGTATTGGTAATTTATCTAGTGGACAAGGTGAATTGACTTCATTTTGCAAAAAACATGTAAGAAATTAGATGCTAGATCTAGTGAACACAGCATTGCTGATTACTTGCTTCTTTAATTCTTGAAAATAAATTCTGTTGTATCATTTTGCCTTCATGCAGATTCAGCCGATACATTGGCATGTGAACTGAAATCATCTGAAAACTGAACAAAGCTTTATGACTACCAAAGTCATACCTTGAGATATAAATTTTAAAACAAATTTTACTTTTTTATATAAAATATGATAAAAACATAATTAAGATTCAAAGAAAGAAGTATGAAAGAAATATTCATTGATGTTCAAAGATAAAAGTCATATTATGCAGCATCTCAAAAAATATCCTGACATTTAAGGAGAAATATTAAAAAGAAAAGTGAAAATACCTAAGCATTATTTAATCAATATTTCTTAAGAGTTTTCTTTTGTTCTCTGGCAAGATAATGAAAATTTGTTTATATTTCCAGAATCAACATGAATGTTACCAAAAATATGTTTGAGTCCTCAGATAAATAATAATGTTGAGAATAATGTTTAATGTTCAAAAGATAAATTGTATATACAAGTAAGGAACTTTAAAAAAAAACATTGATTCAAGTTGCAGTACAAACAAGTAAACAACCAAATGTGTATTCTAAGACCATGAAGAAATCTAATTTAAAAAATATTATGGCATCTTTTGGGGTCTTAGATAGGTTAATTTACATTATGTAATCTCTCTTGTCTAAATTTAGGACTATATTAAGCAAATCGCTAGTTTTACTTGGAAAAAAAAAATCATGCCATGCATCTGAAAACTTCAAAAATATGGTGATAGTTCACTATATGGGAAATTTGTCAATTTGACCCTAAGATCATTTTCAACTCTTATATTATCACTCCAAAATATAGCCAAAATGAATCTGGAACTGAGTACTCAATAGGGACACATATTCTCAGAATAAATAAAAGAATGTAAAAGCCA